ACAACTAGTACTCCACCCATCTTCTCCATGACTATCCTCAAGCTTCCCAAATGCTCCTGCTCTATACGACTGTAGATTATAATGCCGTCGAAAAAAACTAGGGTGAATTTATTGAGGTAAGGATGAAAATCCTGATTCATGAGAAACTGAAACGTGGTTGGAATGGGGCGTTGGTGAGGACAAACTACATTACCAAGAACAATTAATGCCCTTCATATGTCTCGAATGCTGTCAGGTGCACATATGCTAGATCATCTGTTGGTATCCCGACTTCAGATAGATCTTCGAGAAAATGACTACCTCATAAAACAAATCTAGCAGCTCATTAATCACAGATGTAGAAATCTTTTTTCTTTACCAATTGGACTGAACTAGAGAAGGAGCTCACACCGAGTCTGATAATCCTGACTTGGAGCATTTCTCTGATCAAATTCTTTATCTCATTCTTCTGAATCTGATGATACTGATATGATCTTACATTGATAAGAAGGATACCCTTCTTCAAGATAATGGCACGCCCATGCTCCCTCGGGAGTGATAATCCTCTCAACTTCTAAAAGATGTCAGAAAACTCTTGAACACCCTCGTGAAACTCATCTAACTTGGGATCTTGGATCTCCTTTATTCTCTATAACTCCACCAAATAGCCTAATCATGCTCTCTGTATCATCTTCACTATGGTTTTGAGTGAGACTTTGGTTTTTCATATGCTAACACCTCTTCTCAGCATCACCTTCCCACCTTCCAGCTCGAATTCCATTGTTAGGGATTTCCACTCCACCTTCATATCCCCAAGTGCCTGCAACCACTTCATTCTCAAAATCACATCAGTGCTGCCCAAGTCCAAGAGAAGGAAGTCTTCCACCACCTATAGGTCATGTAGTGTCAGAACAAATACATTGCAAATTCTTTGACTGTTTTCCACCTTCACCCTCCCCATCATGACCCCAAAGCTCCCTGTATCTACCAGCTCCAACCCTAGCTGATCTATAACTTGATTTAAGATGAAATTATGTGTGGCCCCACTGTCCACAAACACCACAATCGGTTGCTCCTTGATTCGTTTCTTCACCTTTATAGCTCGATCCGTTCCCTCACCTTCGTAGTGTGATTCAAAGTAAATCCCACTACTGAATTGAGGGACGCCTTTGTTACATCTAAGTGCAAATGCTTCTCTTCCTCCACCGCGTCTTCCTTCGACTCCTCGCTATCTGTTTCTTCCCCTTCTTGAACTAAAAAGATCTGAAGCGCACACTTCTTACAATGGTGTTCTGAGACATACTTCTCGTCACATTGGAAACATCACTCTCATATCTTGCACCTCTGCCTCAGTGATTCATTTGAAATTGCCCTAGGTCCCTATATTCCTCTCATCTGGCACCTTTTTATAAAACGACACCGTCTGGGGTCCTTGCTGCCATGACTGTCGAGGCCTTCTCGTGTAATCTTCCTGTGGTGCCGCCTTTGCTAGTCTTCTTTGCGTATTTTTTGTCTTCTACCATCTGGATGAGCTTCATCATCTCCCTCAACCCCCGCAGTCTCAATGATCGGAGGGCTGCTCGAATGTTGGGCTTTAGGCCCTTTAAGAAGTTTCCCTCTAATCCTGCCATAGAAATACCTTTAGCCGCCTCGTCAATAGCTTGAACCTCTCTCTGTATTCTATGGCTATCCTCACTTGAGTCCAAGTATACAGGTGCTTATCTAGGACTCTTACCCGAATGACTCATAAACATTCTAACAAGCAATCCTTAAACTCCTCCCACGAACGGATCAACTACCTCACCTTCATGCACTGAAAACATGCTAAGGCCTTTCGCTCCAAACATAACCCTTTTGCCATAAATTTCTCTTCCCCCATTAACCAATTTAATGCAAAGCATCCCTCCACCCGATACAACCAACTGTGTGTATCTTCCCCTTCAAAGATCGACATCTTCAGCTTCCTCACCCTTGCATTGCCACCCCAACTTTCTATCCCTCCAACATTTTATCCCATGTGTATAGGGTGAAATTCCTTCATTCGGTCATAGCCATACCTTACTCTCGCTTCTCTCCTTCCTTATTCGTGCTCCTCCGTGTCGCCGACATAACCCCTTCTCCAATTTTTGGCCTACCCCCTCCATCAGAAGTTTCTAGTCCATCCCTTTCTGGAGTTCTACGGGGAGCTCTTTATGGTAGATGCTTTCTTCCTCGCGGTCCCCTTGTTCGACCTCCTTCCCTTTGGATTTGGCCAAGGATTCTCTGATTAATTCTTGGTCAGGGTTTGCAATTTGAGTCATTTGCGTGGTCTTGGATTGCATCTCAATGAGCCTTTTTATCATCTCCTCAAGGCTATCGAATCGATACCTCATTCAGTTTTTTATCGATGAAAACTCATCTTTTATGGTGGCGAACCTTTCTTCTATGCTTGATCTGATTTGCTCTACTTTTGCTTCCAATGCATCTACCTTCTTTGTTGCCATTCTTTCATGCTCTCATTCTGATAACAATTTGACACGAACCGAAAAAAAAAATTGTGAACAAATAACGAAAAATTTACAATAAGGATGCAAGGGAACTTAAATGAGGTCTTATTTTTACTAATATCAATAAATACAAATAAGATATAACTTTGATCTGCTGTTCGAGAGGTAGCTCGCCTCTTCACAAACACTAGACACCGCTAGGAACAATCAGAGAAAAATAAATTGTAGTAATTCAAAACCTAAAACAAAACCTAGCTAATTAGCCCTCATAAATTCTCTCCAAAAGCCATTCGAACTTTCCTCGCAAACCACCCTTAATTCTCCTCCTTTTGTACGTGATTAGCGCCTGTGTGGGCCCCACCCTAACATCAAAATTATCCTCAACTCCTTCTAGTGTTTCCACCCTTGTAGGCTGGGCCGACTGGCTTGGCTAGTTTGGTCGCCTGACCGGTCCAGACTGGTTCTCCTTAGATCGGCAACTCATTTGGGGGGCTGCCCTCCTGTCGGTTCTCCCACTTGCAAGAGCAGACATATCAGTTTGGTATGGGATGTGTCTTTTCTATCACACCTTCGAACGAAAACTTATCTAAAACATTGTAGTTTCCTATACTCCACAGTTAGGATGACTTGTAAATTGAATCTTGGCCTGGCTATGATTGGCCTGGCTATGAGAGGCCTTTTTTTGTTTTTAAAATCTACTTGATTGGTACAAACCATCATTTTTATCCCTTCATATCAAATCATTACCTCGCGAGAACTTTGTTTAAATTCAATTTGAATTTAAATAAAATGTTTTCATTGATCTCAAAAGTTATTGATAATGTTAGGAGTTATACTAGAAAATACTTTATTCTTGTGAGAAATTATGAGGAATAAATTATTTACTTAGATTAAGGAGTTATTTTTTTTTCTATTTTATATTTATTTCTTTAGATATGAGTTATTTCTTTCTTATTTTAGACTTTCCTATTTTATGTTATTTTCTTTATCTCTAAATAATTAATATGATTTAATTATTGGAGATATAGGTGATATATCTTTCATTTTCATGTTATTTCTTTCTATTATCTTTTCTATTCTAGGATTCATTTAAGGGTTATTTATACCCCTCTTATATTAATGAAATAATTTTGTATTCCACTTTATTTCGCATTATTCTGAATTTCTACATGGTCACAGAGCCAAATTTCGTGCCCTAGCCACCGGTCATCCTTTGAGAGTTGTCGATCTCCCTTTCTGCCATTGTCCCTGCGAGAAGGGAGGGACTCTTTCTCTCCACGCAGGCCCTCGCCGCCTGAGCAGGGATTTGTAGGTCCTTTCTCCCGGTAATCCCAAGCCGCGGCCTTGCGGGCAAGTAGAGTTGCAATCGCCCTCTGTGATCCTAACCCATATCTTATCTTTATGATCCCAACCCGCTTCTGCCCGTTGCGGGAGCCAACAATTTGAGAGCGTTTTTCTCTCTATTCGAGCGTAGAGACGCCAAGGGGGCAAATTTTTCTCTCTAGTGGAAATCCCATATTTGGTTTTAAAAGGGATTGTGCCAAGACATCTTAATCCTGCATACAAAACTTTTTCGCGTTATCAACTCTCCCTCTTGCATACGTTTTTCAGTTATTAGAACTTTCTAAACGCGGAGAAGGTGACTTGAGCGACTCTCCTCTCACTAGAGAAATCCCGGAAAAGGGAGCTATTTTCCCAGTTGTCTTCTCTCCAAATTTTAGCCATTGAAAAAAAGAAAGGAGGACCCCTTTATTCCCTTCCTGCTATTTTTTATTGCGCCTGTTCCCTGCATCAGTCTGACTTACCTGATTTCAGCTTTCCCTTGAGGTGCAGCTACCCCGCCGCCTTCCCTGCAGGTCATTCCCGTTGTTCTTTAGTAACTGTTCCCTGCAACAGTTTGACTTACTGGTTTCCAAGTAGTCTGGCTTCTCTTATTTCCTAAGTTGCTTGCTTGGCGCCACCACTCTGGCTTCCATTACGAAAGTGAAGGCATTGGGTGGATATATGACTAGGCAGGGAGAGAGTCCAATAATTGCCTTAGACTAACTTTCTATATAGTCCATCTAGTGATTTATTTAGTGCAGGTGTTTCTGTGGCTTCGTCCTGTCCAAGATATTTTTGTGCAGGTGCCTTATTTCTTAGTGCCCCTGGTTTTCTTCATTACAATGGAATGTTTTTTCTTGATGTTGCACCACTTTCCCGTCGAATCAAAGGAAAACACAAGAAATTGCATGAATTTAGATATGCGAAAATCATATGCTTTAGTTTTTTCTTGATTAGATGCATCATGACGTGCTTCAATGCATTTGACAAAGGTACAGACATTAATGCATCTATCTCCTCTGAAGCTTTTCCTGCAGCAGGGTTATTTGTATCCCCTCTCATATCAATGAAATTATTCTGTATTTCACTTTATTCCGCATTATTCTGAATTTTAATGGATAATCTATAAATAAAGATATCTCACTCCTTATCATTTGTGGCCTTTTTTTCCTTTTAGCACTACCATAAAAAAATGTGATCTTAGCTTTGTAGATGGTAATCTTATTGCTGATCGTCAAGCGGGCTCGAATAAAAGCCTTGGTCAAGGATAAAAAGGCTTCTGTTGATGCTTTCGGAACATATGTTGAGGTGACCATCATCACTTATTAGTTTCCTTGATATACATTTTGTTAGTCATTGTTTCAGAAGCTACTATTTTTTGATGAAGAATCTAAAATTTTCTCATTCACCATGACTGACTATTATTATTATTATTATTATTATTATTTTTCTGTTGTTAACATGAAGGCACTGGTTGGAGACTTAAGTAACATGGCATTCCTATCAAAGGCCTTGAGGGGTGTTCGTGCTATAATTTGCCCCGCAAATGTAAGAATGCTTGGCTCATTATGGTAAATTCTGCAATTTCTTGTAATTATCTTACATGTTTTTAGGTGATGTAGTTTTCTACATTCAAAGATGGAGCTTATCAGGAGTAAAGGCTCTAGACTATCAATTCTTATTTAGAAATAAGCACTAAAGTTATGTCCTTAACCTTTCTATACTCTCCAATACAAAGGCGAGATAGATTTAATTTTTAATTAATCTTCAACAACACCTACAGACCATAATTCGTATAAAAATTCTTGCGATCCTCATTTCTTAGATGTAAGTATGCACCAATTCCTTCGGTACATTTCTAAATCAATATAATATGCACATGCTGATTATTTTGGTAGGTCTTCAAAATACTTTCTATGAATACTCCATTAGAAGTAATCATAAAGTGTTGCATTGAGGAAGAAGATTTTTCTAATCCCACCACATATAGAGAATGGGTAGGCAGTCTAAACTATTCAAGTCTTACTCGGTGGGATATTTCTTTCGTCGTTTGATAAATAACTTTGTTTATGCAAAATATTCATTACTCATCTTTTGCAGTTGTTTGTCAAATTATTCGATATCTTATGGGAACATCAAGCCTTGGTTTATTCTTTCCAAATGATGTTCATTCTTAGCTTGTGAGATATAGTGATATGGATTGAGCACAGTGTTTCAATACTCGCAGATTAGTCACATGTTGGTGTATGATTTTTGGTGATTCTTTGATCTTATGGAAGTGTAAATGACCGTGTCTAAATTATCTGCAGAATTTAAATATCATGCAATGTTTGTTGCATGTTCATAAATTTTCTAGCTATGTGGACTTTTATCTGAACCAGGCTTTCTGCAATTAAGTTCTGCCCCTCTACATGCTGACAATATAAGTGGCATTCAAATTGCTGTTGATTTAGTGTATTATGAGAGTACCAAGCATTTGAAGTTGATTGTCACTCAATTCTAGAAGCCTTCAATGTTCATATTATTTTGTCTTCGTCACATATCCACAAACCTTCAAGTTGTAGGCAAAGACTTTGACAACTAGCATGAAATAGTGAGTTGGTATCAATGCATACATTAATATGAAATTAATCTCCATGAATTATGACTAGATCAGCTTTTTGTATGCCATCTCATTTATCTGTATGCTCATAAAGTTTACCTCCATGAATCTATATAGGCTCTCTACATGACACATTTCTGTCATCAATCCATATGCTCATGAATGTCATCTCACCGAGCCGCATGCAAATTAAAGTTTTGCTCTTGATTGTGTATACTTCCTATTAAGTAATCCTCCTGGGAGTGTATAAACATGGGTTGATAGATAAAATAAAACTAAGGTTATTCCATGCTCCTGTTTATTTGACGTATTCTTTAATAATTTCTCAAACTCCAGTTTCTATGAGGAAATTATTTTCATATGTCCATTCAAATGTTTACCTATCGCTTGACGCTTTTGCATTACCTTCTAAATTCTACACCTGAAAAAACTGCTGCTATTTAACACAATACTGGAAAAAAAAGTAACTAGCAGCGGATAATTCTGCTTGGAATAGGATCAAATTCCCATGCTAAGCCCTATTTCCGGTGGTTTTAATTCTGATGCAAAAATGCAGGCCGCAAAGCTATTAACATCAAAAAACTTCCACGACTAAGGTTTGCAGCATCTTTGTGACGAAAATGATCAGACGTAATGTTTAACGATTGATATTGCGTCTGAGCATTCCGACACAAATTTGTGTCAGCTTTGCGTCGAAATATTCCGTTGTAGAAATGCATGCGACAGGATTCAACGATAGCCTATTAACGTATGAATTAGTGTTAGATGGTGTTAGTCACGATGTTGTGTATGAAAATCAGACGTAAAGTAGACACAAACCTGAACTAAATTTTAAAAAAAATAAGAAACCAATAAATTTTTTTACACTTGTATTCCACATGTAATCATCACTAACATCAATCATAGCTCACAATAGTTTTAACAAACATATAGCGACAGTGACAATAAATAGAATCATCATACATAATACAAAATCTAATCTATAATCCATCGAACATATAAATTTTTAATATGTAAATGAAAAATAGATTTACAGAATGTCATGTTCAAATATAAAATAAAAAAGAAAACATCGAATCTTTTTGGGGCATCATCATTATGGTCATCTTGTTCTCTTCCTCCTAATTCACAACACTAAGAGGTCGCTTGCCATGAAGATCTACTACTTGCTTCAGCTTCGCAACAGTAGCCTCGGGCCTCATATCTTAGATCCCTGGCACTGAGCTCCTTATTTAATGTGGATCACGCTTGACAAATTTACCATGTTCAGATGATGACCTTTGACTCTGAGTTGTCCAGTAGTGTTTAACCTCATATACAAAATCTTGAGCGCCGATTTCGTATACTCTCCCATTCTTCTTTCCAACAACTTGCCTCCAAATCTCATTGTCAGACTGGTCAGAAAATGACTGACTACTACAACTGCCAACACTTGTTGGGCTTTGACTCTGGCTATGGCTGTTCTTAATGCACTCTTAGTCTTACATAATTAAAATCAAAGAAATAATTAATATTTTATATTAAAATTGTAAAAAATTCTAGAAATAAAAAAATACTTAATTTATATGGACACGTCAAGATATGTCGAAGACCCATTGCTACATCCCCTAGCGCCCGGGGATGCAACTCGACAAAGACGGGCTCCCGTCCAAGCTCTTGAGTCTGTTAGTATGTAAAAAGAGTAAATATTGGATACTTGCATTAGTGAATTGTCGAATATTGAGGGAATTTTCAAAATTTTCTCTAATACCCATTGCTACTAGATAATTGCATTAGTGTATATGTAGATAAATCTAACATATACACACTTGCGTGTGTGTACACACGCATAAAAGTAAAGGGGGTGCATATACATATCACCCAATTCTTATGTATTTAAATATCTAAAACTTAAACTTTAATTTTTACAAATTTTAAACAAGATTAAAAACACAAAATTCTTTCATTTACATGCATACCACCCAATTCTTATAGATTTTCATAACCCCAAACCTAAACGATAGAAATCATGCATTCCTAACACATCACTATAAGCATTGAGACAACCTTGAACTTAAATGAATTGGCCTTGAAAAGATAAAAGGATTTGAGAAAATGCCAAGGAGAACGGAGAAATGATCAATTACCTCGGATGGTAAGGAATCACCGGATCACCGCGAGGCTGCCTTTGATAAAGAACGCCACAAGGTCACTGAAAGTTTGCCAGAGGAAGATTTGAAGGGAACCCTAGTTTTGCATGAGCCAATAGAACATTGGATAGAAAAAAGAGAGTGTGAATGAGAGGCTAGTGGAGGTTTAAAGAGCCTTACTTTCGAAAACTTTGTGGCAGAAAGACCTACCGATATCTGACTTTAGTAAGTGAGAATCGGTGCATCAGACACTTTAACCGCTTTTTCCTATGCAAAATATTTTTGTCGGATATTCAGCGAAAATCGGACGCAAATATTTGCATAAAAAATTTTTAGACTCTAATTTAGATGATATTTACCTATATTCCTGTTGTTGCACTTCAAGTAATTTGGCTTCTAGAACTCCTTAATCTCCAAGAAGAATTCGCTTTCTATTATTCATTCAGATGTTTATGTGCCATTAGCTGTTGAGGATAGAAAGCATTGAGATGAATTTTGTGTAATCTTTTTCATTTTGCATTTCCAGGATATGCAAAGCATCTCTTTGTTGTTCATATGTTTTCTACTATTAAGAATATGAATGGCTTGCCCGCTCCACTAGTTTTACAAAAATGTTTCACCTCTAACTTTTTTCAGATTATAATGGCATATTTGCAGGATGGTTTTTTCAGTGTTGTTGGGCTTATGAAAGGTATAGAGCATGTTATTCTTTTATCACAGGTTCTCCCCTACCCTTGTGCTATAGTACTTTTATCTTAGATTTGGCAACCAACCCCCTACCAACAATTTGTTTCTGTAAGGTTCCAGTTGGATGCTTATAAAGGTTCTGGGATATTTCAAGCCATCATAAACAAGAGGTTGAGGAAGTATGCAGAGAGGGATGAGGAGGTGGTTATTACTTCTGGGATCCCTTACACTATAGTAAAGGCTGGATTGCTTCAGGATGTCCACAGTGGCGAGCAAGGTTTCTGCTTCGATGAGGTTATATAATTGTCCACGAATCCCTTTTCTTGCCATTCATTCCATGTTTTGAGATGCATCGTTTTTGTTAAAAACTCTTGTAAATAGTGAGTAAATAAGAATGTCTCCACATTAACCAATTATTGAACTCGGATGGTTCATAAAGATGTATTAAATTCTAAACTATATTCCAAACCCCTTAGGACTTCTTATTGGAAGTTGTCAAGAAGTTGAGGATGGAATTATATTTGTTAATGGGAAGGCTTGATGAATATATTTAAGATTTTTTTTTTCCTTCTAGCTCTTAAAGTTCCACCAACTACCACATTCCCATTACCATTCTTTCTCGTCTGTTTGAGCCAGGGCATGATTGTTGTATACTAGAAAATTCTCTATCGTGAAAAAATTTGAAGTCATAGCTCAATATAATTTTTCAGCTTACACAGATTGAAATGTAAGACAATCTGATTTTTTATGTGGAATTCCACTATATAATTATAGATACAGAGGTTCACTCTTCACCATAACTAGAGAAAATTGAATTACAAAATTATTTTGAAATTACAACTGCTTTGATATAACCCAATAAATACAACTGTATAAGGGTAGTTTGTACTATACAATAGCTGTAGTTGGATCACAACAATCATAGTTGGGCTGCAATAACCGTAATTAGGATATAACCGTTGGTGGTGATTGGCAATTAATAGTAATTCTCGATTTTACATTGCACTTCAAGATTTATGCTTTAGTTGTCAATTCACTCTTCTCTCCTCCTCTCCTCTCTCTTTTAAGTGAAGAATGAGACTTGTTTATAATTTTTGAGAGAATATTTTACTAAATTTATCCATAATCTCAAAACATTCAATCACACGGTCCACATTGATTCACTTGATGACATTTCATTTTTTTTATAATTTAAGTGCTTTAATGAAATCAAAATTAATTGATATTGGGCTCATTTGATTTCTCTCATTTAGTCTCTTGTTTTAACTATAGGCATGCCAAATTTTGAGATCATTTGACATTCCAATTTTATGCCAATGCCTTCTACTACGCTTCAGGTGTTTGATATGATGAGCTTATCTAGACTCGGATTGGATCACTTTTAGTCATTAGATTTGTATTGTCGAGATGCTTAGTTTAATTTTAAGTTTGTTAAAATCAGAATGATCGTAAATTTCATTAGGAAAGTTTTTTTAGCCAAAATGCATCGAAATTCATGTTTATTACTTCTCAACCCCAAAAGGCATTTTATTGGTTTGATAAAGGCATTTTATTGTTGATAGTCACAATTCTTTAGTCATGTTTATTACTTCCCAACCCCAAAAGATGGAGTTACGAGTTGTGTTTCAACTTCCTACATTGTCGTCTATTCCATCACATACTGAGTTTGTTTGCCATTGCTGCACTACCCTATGACTACAAGATATTCAATGATATTACATTTAAGATTATACATCATGCATAATACCAGCCAAGTTCACAGTTTCTAGATCTTCTTTATGATCTAATTATACATGCTGATAATGATAAATATGTTCATAAACCAGTTCTTCCAATTTCTCCACCACGGGCAATAGACTTCGAAACAAAGGGTTTTTGCATAATTCTTTATGAGAAGGGTTTTTTCTGGCTTGGGAGAGTTGGTTCACTTCACAAGAAATTAGTTGTGTTTTTTTTTCAGCTATTTCATTTAAATCGGAAGCTATGGATTTATTTTAGTTGAAATTAAAATTAATTATCCTTTTGGAATATTAAATTTGAATTTAAATGATTGAATAGGATTATATTATATTTGATTTTAATCTTATCTTTTATAACCTTATTTTGGAATGAATTCATAAATTATTTAAATTTGAAGCTGTCGCTTTTCTCTCTCTTCTCTATTTTCGAGTAATCAATGGAATTTGAAGATTCTGATTTTTTCTATCTTCTTTATCTTCTAATACCTGATCCTTCTCTCTCTGCTACCCTGATTTGCATCAAATGGCTAGAAGAAAAGTTTCTTAATCATAAAATATCTCTTTTTTTTGGCATTAATTCTGTTTCCTGCTTCTGGATCTAGTTACTTATAAAATACTTTTTTTGGTGAAGAATAGCCTAAAACACACCAATTTAGATTTTCATGGGCCGTAACACTTGAAAAACATAGGCATTCAATGTCAGGAGGCAAAGTAAATATTGAGTTTCATGATGCAACAGGCATTCTTAACCTAAGGGGTATAGTTGGCATTATTTTAATAATGTGGAAAGCAATTCGGACAGCTTAATTCCCAATTTTTTTTTGTTGGCAAATCAGGCTTAGAAAGTGCATGAAGAATTTAAGATGTTTGTTTTTCCTAAAAAAAAAATTGCAGGTACTCCCCAACAGCTCTAGTTGGAGTTCTTTTTTGAGATTTTTGAATCATCAATTGTCAAGTTGCGTATGTTTATTACAACTTTTTACTGATACTTAATATTTTTAAATATTACCATGATAATTTAAAAACTTCATGAGCATTTTCATATCTAAAATCTTCTTAGTTTGCAAAGTAATTTTGAATCATCTCACAAGAAACATGTTTTATTCATGGAACTTAATTTTTTGATTAAAAATAGTAAATCCATGTTCAATCAGTATAGTTTAAAGTAAAACTAATTGATAGTTATATGCTGCAGTTTTAGGGATCCAGTAATCAGAATGAATAAGTCTATTGGGAGACTTATTTTAACTTGATAAATTTGGATCAATCAGTTTAGCTTACAATAGAACTAATATATAGGTATGTGCTGCAGTTTTAGAGATGCATTAATCGGAATGAATAAGACTATTGGGAGACTTATTTTAACTTGTAAATTTGGAAATTCTGTTCTGGAATTTATAGCCATTTGATGACAATTTTGGTGAAGGTAAGGGAGTTAGGAAAAGCTCTTGATGACATAAAGGTTTACTTAATAGAGTGTTAATATTATCATCAATTGATTAGAAGGTGTAACTCAACCTAAACAAAAAATGTAGTATTCCGGTCAATAACTTATCATTGCATCATTAAAACTAACATTCCTCAAACGATGCATCAGGCATTAAAATTAGAAGTCAACTTGTGTACATAAGAACAAATGGAAACATTGAGGAATTATTTAGCTTGGAATTAACTTGGTACAAAATCACTGGCACAAAATAAATTTAAAACTTCTTGAGACATTCAATGGAAGTAATTGGAGAATGAGGATTCATAAAATTGATCCCAAATAATTTGGATGACACCAATGATGATTATGATCGTTCCATTTCTTCCCCACTCTTGAAGAGATCATATTCATAATTATATCTTTATACTATTTAGGACGAAGTGATATAGGAGAAGATTCAACAAGAATAGTCAAGAAAGCAATCGGAGACTGAAAAAAAATAACTTGAACGAAGACGAGATGCACTTATCAAATAAAAGATCCAGGATATAAGTGTTTCCTACGCTTCACAATGATCGGGATACAGAAATGACCACCCGAAGGATTGCCAAAGGAAGAAAATCCGAGATGTCTCCACCAACAACAGAGGGATACAGTTGTCACAATCCAACATCGTGGATACAAGATTCGTCCCCATCTGGGAACCATAAAGGGAGCACCATCCCTCACAAAACTCAAATGAACAAAAGACCCCTAATATAGTAAAATACATATTTATAGTTAATAAAGAATGTATACCTAATTAAAAAATAGGCGAAAATATCCTTGTTGTTATTAGGAGTCGGCAATAGTCCCAAGAGCGAGGGCCGACTTGCTATCCCCCACCTAGGCCAAACCAGTTCGGGGTCCCCTCTCTGCCTTGTGTCAATCTAGCGTGGTTATTGGAGCTTCAACTTTATTCGTTGAAGCTTCTGACTTCTTATGATATGACATCAGGTCGGCCACATTGAAGGTGGCAGAGCTGTTGTAACCTCCCGAAATTGGAGGGCCTTTGGTTTCCAACACTTGTCCCCTCGGTGGCATGACTAGGGTTTAGGTTTGAGAGGTAAATGAGGGTGTATGCGACTAATTTAGGGTGCAGAAAAACTATTTAGGGTTGTTGATTTTGAAAATCAGCATGGGGGCATTAGAGTTAGGTCAAGAATTAGCTATAGTTTGGTGGCTTTAGGGTTGGGATGTGAAAGATGGTGTATGAGGCTGATTTAGGGTGCATAAAAATTGTTTATGTTTGTTGTTTTGAAAATTAGCTAATGGGAATTAGGGTTAGGTTAAGATTTAACTATTGGTTTTGTGGGTTTAGGTTTGGGAGGATTTTGGGTAAACCTAGAATGAAACTAGAGTTAGTCTATTTTTGATATCAAATGATATCGGAGGAGTGGTTGCAGAAGATTTAATAAAAACAATAAAAAAAAACAATCTGAGACAGAAAAAAACAACTAGAATAAAGACGAGATATACTAATCAATATCTCGTATCCGATCGGGATACAATATATCAACACGCAAAGGATTAAAGAAGCACGGAGAGTCAAGATGTCACCACCAACAATGGAGGGATACAGTTGCCACCAACAATGGAGGGATACAGTTACCACCATCCAACGTTGTGGATATAGACTCGTCCCTATTCCTGAATTACAAAGAATGCACCGACCCTTACGAAATTCAAATGAATGAAAGATATGATAATGACTACATATTTATAATCAACAAATGAATAACCTAATTAATAAGTGAAAAAAATACCCTTGCTGTTATTAGGAGTGGGCGACAACCCTACCCCTAGAGAGTGGGTTGACCTGCTCTCCCTCAGTTGGGCTGAATTGGTCTAGGATCCCCTCCTTGCTTCTTGTTAATGTGCTTCAGGTAGTGGAGCTTCAAGAAAATATCTTAGCGGTAGTGCGAGGGTAATTACTGTCACTACATCTCTCGTTTCATCTTCTCTCAAGAAGACCCCGCCCTCTTTCTCTTCCACCTCAGGTTCTCTCACCACAAATAAACATTTTTCTTCAGCTTAGTAGCAGTGAACTTCACTCTTTTGTCATCAGGCACTTCATTGTTTTCAAAGATCTGCTCAACTGTTTGCATCCACTCAAGAAAATCATCTAGATCTATTCTCACCAAATCTCTGTATCCTCAAATCGACATGTCATCTCTGTATCTTCTAATAAATAGTCCATCTCTATGTCCTCTAACAGACATTTTATTTTTTATTTTATTGAAAATGAACAGACAGCTCATTTTTGCATCCTCTAACAACCCCCTCATCTTTATATCCTTTAATTGACATCTCATCTTTGTATCCTCAAGCAAATACCTCATCTATGTATCTTCCAATAAGCACTTCAGCTCTAGGCCTCCGCTGATGCGTACCGTAAAGCGTTGTGGGTTGTCTTTTTTTCCACTAAAATCATCCCTACAAAAGAGATTCAGTTGTTTTTCTCACTCTCTTGTATGAATTTCACTATTATGGTCGATGGTGATCCCGACCTGGGTTCTTTCCTCAATGACATCGAGCGATATCGTACTTGGCAGATTTCTGATCGAATTCTGACAATTGTCTCCTCAGGGCATGGTTAGGGTTTTGGGTGCAGATAGGTGGATGAAGGTGTGTAGGGTGGAGGGAAATAAAAATTTGGGGGGTATTAGAAACCCTAGGATATGACTAAGGTCAGACTAGCTCTAATATCAAATGATACCAGAGAAGGGGGTTTGAAGAATAATCAAAAAAGCAATTCAAGACAGGAAAAAAACAACCATAACAAGACGAGATGCATTAATCAAATAAAATATACAAGATATAAGAGTTTCATACTCTCACAACCAATATGGCTGCAATAATCACCACCTAAAGGATTGACTGAGGAAGGAGCAGAATGTCACCAACAACAATAGAGGGATACAATTGCCACCACTTAACGTTGTGGATACAGACTCGTCCTGATTCGAGAACCACAAAAGGAGCACCAACCCTCACAAAACTCAAATGAACAAAAGAATCCTAATCCAAAGCTAGATATTTATAATACACAAAGGACCTAAAATTATTTAAAAAAACTTATGAAAATACTCTTGCTGCTATTAGGAGTGAGCGACAACACTTGCTCTAGAGAGAGAGACGATTTGAGCGCCCCCTGTGGAATGAACTGATTTGGGGTCCCCTTACCACCCTGTGTCACAAAGAGAACAAGAGAAGTAGGTACACTAGTGATATGCTTAATGTTTTGTAGGATACAGTGTCAAGGTTTGAGGCTTTCTCAATGCAAATAATGTACTGATGTAGAAAATAAATATAAAACACCTATTTTATTGAATTTTATGAAGGCATGCAACGTAATATTCTGCTAACTAGTTTACAAAATCTACAGAGAAGTCCAATATATACCACAAACAATTTGTTAATGCTAGTGATGAAATGTAACTAATTAAATCTGCATGATTGATAATAGTTCATTTTCATAGATGACATAAAATCACATGAGACAAAGAATAATTTTGTGTTGTGTGGTCAAGTTCAACTTGTTGATCACCAGTGTAGATGCTGTATTACTACTGCAACCATATATAACGAGACTGTACATATTTCCCTGTACGAGATAATGGGCATGAAAGCTATTGTGGTGTAACCACGGTTTCTTCCTCATGAGCTCAGTATGAATGACCATTCGATTACTAAACTATCTCCATCGTCAGCTAGAAGTTGGTATTCCTCCTTTGTGTATCACCTTCTTTAGTGCCTTTTGTGTCACTATCTATATTTTCCGCTGCTCTGTACTCGGTGAAAGAGATCATCCTCCTTTGTGCAATCGGACACAATATGCCCAAGCGTGACACTTGAATCAATACTTAGATGGGATGAATTTGGCAGTGTTGGTGGTCTCTACCTTTCGTTCACTCTCGATTGATTTCTCTTTGCGTGGGTTCTTCTTGAATGCTCCATTAGGTTTACTCTTATTGTCTGATCTTGGGGTTGAATTCTGACTGTAAAGTGTGGTGGTCATCTGGTGACGTTACTGTTTCTCCATCTTCAAAGCTAAGGCATGTACATCAAGTAGGGACTAATATGATTACAATTGCACTGCATTACTGATGAATGATTTCAATCTTCTTAAATATATTGCTATTGTGTGCTTCTTCTGTTCTACCAATTCAATTTCAGCATAATTTAATCAATTTAAGGTGTGTACTCCTTTACAGAAGAATCTCTGTGGTGTGGGTTGCAGAGTTCTATGAATATTTCATGTCACAAATGCATGGGGATATTTGCACTGGATCACTTTTTTCATCTTGAACCAAGTAGTGATTTTTTTTCCTTCATGTTGGCATAGGCTCTTCAAATTTTCTCACCACAAGGATGACTTCCTAAGTTTGATGATCGCTAATTTAACTCCTTTGTTATGAAGAAAGTCTTTACAAAAACAACAACAACAACAACAACAACAACAAAGCCTTAATCCCACTACGTGGGGTCGGCTACATGAATCCTTTTTCTCCATTGCGTCCTATTTAGTGTCATATTTTCATTTAGTTCTAGTAAATTAAGATCATTTTTAATACAATAAGCCCAAGTCTTCCCAGGTCTACCTCTGCCTTTCTTAACACAAGTCGAATCTAAAACATCTACTCTTCTAATCGGATCATCAGATGGTCGACATTTAATGTGACCAAACCATCTAAGACGACTTTCTATAATTTTGTCCGTCACAGGAGCTACACCAACCCTATCACGAATATATTCATTTCGCATTTTGTCTCTAAGTGTAAAGCCACTCATCCACCTAATCATTCTCATCTTGTAAAGCCACTCATCCACCTAGTCTTTGGACTAAAAAATTCATTCCTTTCTTTGGAGTCACTCAATAATCTTATTCGGATCCATGTGACCTTTAAAATTCGGTAATTCTACTTTTACTCCAAAGTTATTACTTCTCTGATATTTCATGTTAAATCAGCATGACATCGACTCTTCATCACTTGAAAGTTTTTAGTGGAAGGGATCCACTTCCTCCTGTAGATCTGACGATTCACTGTTATGGTTATGAGTAACCTCACAAGGTTATCTCCTCTGAAAGGCGACTAACTTTTGTTTGGAGGATTTTTCACTGCATATTCTTCATACTAATCTCCTAAACACCATGTTGATTTTTTTTTGACAACATGACATCTCATTCTTCCAATGAAAACTTTGACAGAGAAGGAGGTTTAGGGTTAGGATTAGATGATGTAGGATTTTTTTTTCGTATTTATTTCTCTGTTGGTCGAAGTGCTTAAGTTTTTTGTGGATGCAGGAAGGCTGACTTTTGAAAATTTTTAGGGCTAGGAATGGATTTAGAAATCATTAGGGTGTGGTAGGGGAAATTTTGTGATAAGTATGAGATTGATAAATCCCTGAAACTTTAGGGTTTGTTAGGATTTAATACAAAATGACACTATTCTTGAGCTCTTAAAATGGATTAGGATGTGGATTTTACAGGGAGGTGGTTATGAAATAGTACGAGAATGAGAGTAAGGGTAGTCGACGACGTTTGGATGGGAATAGGGGTGAAATGTACTGTTGGACAGCATTATCGAGTGGTTCAGTGGCTGTCTGGACTGAAACAGTGGTCGAATGATGAAACGACGAAGTATGAGTGGCAAGGACGATTCACGGCTTGTTCCTGAGCAAGCTATAGACACACCATTTGTAGAAGGAAGATGATACAACACTCTTTAGGGTAGAAATTAGATAATACAATCACACACAAAACAAAGATAATATTTCAAAACTGTAATCATAATTTCCGAACTGATTTTTAAATATCTGGTTGGTGTAAAAGCAAGTTGATTGAATTTGAAATTATTGCTTAGAGTTTTACTGATGATCTACCATCTCAATATAAGGTTATTGAAGTAAATGGATGAATTAGAACACATTTTTTATATCCAGTGTATAAATCTTTCCTTTGGAAGACTGTTACATAACACAGCAGACCCGGTTCTGAAGTCGAAAGAGTACATTCTTATGAGGGAAGTTTCAAAATGGTCCCTTAATTTTTTGCAGAAGGTCATTTTAATCTCAGAGTTTATAGAAGTGTCAATTTAGTCCCCAGAGTCTTTTAATATGGGTTCAAGTAGTCCATATCGACGATTATTTTAGCTCCCATTAAATGTGTATGGGGACTAATTTAACACTATTGTAAACACTAAGTTTAAAATAGCCCCATGTAAATAGGCATGGGACTATTTTGACACATTATTCAATTTCCTATTTTCCATTTGCCTTATAACATATAACTACTAGTCATATGTGTATACCACGGAAATATTACTATGATAGGAGTTTGTATCACATAATTGCATTTTTGCATTTTCTTGTAATTTCTATGTTTCCGTATGCCTTCTGATAATGTAAGAATTATATGAAGGCGTATCGCAGAGTTTAGCATTTATCCCAAGAAATGCAACTGCTGTTTGTGCATATTCATAGGGTGTAGCATCAAGAGGAAGACTTGACAGAGAAGTTGCTGCTCGTATTTGTGTGGAGGCACTTGATGTAGTTCCAACGAAAGGCTTGATATTTGAGGTTTGTTTCATATCTATATATATTTATGTTTCTCTACCAAGAAATTTTAACCGTTTTTATGCATTAGGTTTATAAAAAATTATAATAAGTTTTAGAATTTAAATATTCCCAATTGACCAGGCTTGGACATTGGGCAGGTCAGCTTCCTACTCACAGATTCAGAAAAGCAGTAATGATTACTTCTTATTAAGCTTTTTTTTTTGGTTAATATCACTATAGCTTTGCCAGATGCAAGGCTTGACTTTTAAACCACCTGATTGCGAAATTCACCATTTAAGAATGCACCATTTGAAGGGGCTTTGGTTCTTGAGTCTGCTTTATTATAATATATTATTTGTAGATATCATCTATTTGTTTGTTGTAATTTTTAAATATCAATTTCTTAATGACACTTCTGCCTTATTTTTTGACATGCAGCTGTCACCCAAATCTGTCAACGCATAAATAAACTTTAGGCTAGCAAATGATCTAATATGACAAAAATGAAGATGTGTAATTATTATTGATAATTCCAAATAAAATTATATTATTGTCCCTCCCAACAAAAAAGAAAGACCATTCTAACTGACGATTTTGGCTTCTGCAGGTGGTAAACGGAGATGAGAAGGTTGAGGATTGGAAAGAATGGTTTGCTGCAAAGATTAGGAATGCTGAAGAGCTGCAATGATCATCTCTATACTGTTCATTCCTTGGTTCTTTGTGTCTCTTAGTTTGAATCTTTTCAATTATTACAATTGAAAGAACAATATCCCTCAAATTGTCTTGAAGGATGTTTAGCTTGTTATTATTATTATTTTTATTTCATGACCTGCAGAGCTTGATTTTTTATTGATATAACTTGACGATTACAGCTATTACCGTTCCTCTCTAAATTGAAACCAAATACTCAATGTACAAGGCTATATATATATATATATGATATT